CTCAGTATAAAGGACACAGAACGCAATGAACCCAGCCATCCCATGGCGTTTCATGCTGAAATAGTTCTTTGGCAGGCGTGCTCCAACAGAACCAAAGTTCACGACCTTAACTAAATTACTTCTATGAAGGATTTGTTCCTCCTCATTAATTTAGCAATGCATTCATTTACCTTATTGTCCTGGGATGCATTATTATTATTTTAGAAATAAAACAAATACAAGAATTATTTGTGATTATGTAGATAAATTGCATACATCTTTTATAGGACACGACAGTTTACCTTGTTCACCCAATCATTTCTCAGGAATGTAAATGAAAACTTCAGGTAATGTCTAAGTTCCAGAGTTCTTACTAGTTGCCTCAAGTTAATTTTTGTATTCAAGGTACAGGCTTAACTTTAATAGGAATTGCATCTTAAAATTAAGTTTTTCGGTGTCTGCCATAGCATTCTAGCAATAAGTCACAGGAATTGATAAAGTTAGTAACACAGTACTCTTAACTTAAAACAAAATTATTCTCAAACTTGATTTCTCTATATCATAAATCTCAAAAATATATTTTAAAAAATTCTTTATGGGCTAAAAATAGCTTACTAGCACGATAGAAAACAGTATCTTTAGGAGTATAAATCAACGATCTAGTTTTCAAATCTGAAAGATCTAAAAACACTGGTCTGATGATACCCTTCTGCCAAAGACCACATGGAAGGGACATGCTGGAAGGTGAAAGGTGACAAGTATGGAAAGTTACTAAGCGATGCACAAACCTGCACAAGGTGTGCTGACGAAGTTAGGATGCCGAGGAACCTTGAAGGCAGGGACACTGTCCCTGTCTCCATGTATGCTATCAAGAAATAACTGGCACTTCCCCCTACAGATTACATGAAGAGCTTGTACAAAAGTTCCATGAAGAAGCATCAGTGGAAGGTGCCCAAGAAATGAAAAGTGGTGGCTGTCTCAAAACTTTTTCTATATACTCTTTATACATTTTGAATCTTGAACCATGGTCATAGATTACCTAGTCAAAATATTTTTACCGTACTCAATCCCTAAATCTAGTTGTTAGTTTCTATTTAGCTCAACAATGCTGAGAGTCAACCAAGTGCCAGGAGCACTGCCAAGCACTTGACACACAGATATGAATAAAACAGTGTGTCCCAGGTCCCAGTTAGCAGATGAGACAGACAAAGAGCCAGGCCAATCACTGACAAACACAGAAACAGATTAAGTGGAGTAGGCTTCGAACCAATAGTGCAGCATCCAGAGGACCGGGAAGGGTTTGCAGAGGTTTAGAACTCAAAGGAGTTACTGTACAGCCATGTACCTGAAAACCACAATTAGCACTCATGTAGGTGTGCAATGAGAAGGACCCTCAGCTCTGGGACAGCAGGCCAGGGAGGGGCCCAGCTTCCTAGTTACCCACAAGACATTTGTTGTGCATCTTATAAAGTGAGAGATTTGGAAACAGTTAAGTTCCTGGGGTGGCCCCAGTGAAAAGGGGGGAGTGAAAAGGGCATACCCAAATCATGCAAGGGGACTGCTGGCATAGACAGGAAGGAAGGAAAGCAAGTCCTAAATTGAACTGGGAACGTGAAGGAAGTTGGTAAGGAAATGGTGAGACGGGAGAGTTTTACACGAGGGTGGGAGTGCTTCTCAAGACAGCCTTTCTAGAACAATCACAGTGGTGGCAAGGCTGAGGAGGGAGAAGAAACAAAAGAATGACATTCACAGAGGTTAAGAAACTGAACCACTGTCACAGCTAATCAAAGTGACACATCTGGGCCTGTGAGCGAGCCCAAGACTATTTGATTCCAAATCTAGGGTCCAAATTTCTAAATGATCATGCATCCTAGAGAATAAAGTTTGGGAAAGGGCCCTCTCCCTCCTAGTTCTGTATAAACAGTAATAATAATAATGTCCATAACTAATGTTTACTGAAGGCTAACCCTATACTAGGCACTGTTTCAATTTTTTTTCCTGCATTAACTCATTTAATCATTAACATTCCTTTCAGGTAGGCCCTGTTATTATCCCCATTTCACAGACGGTAAAACCAAAGCACAGAGATTTAAAATTAACTCATTCAATTTATCACAGCTAGTACAGCCAGAAAATTTAATCATCTGAAGACCGAAGGTACAGCTTTTGTCACTTCCCATAAAAATTGACTGCAGGTGATTGTTATTATCCCTAGGACTCTCTGAATGAACTATTATAAAGTGGTAGGATGGCTCAAGGATCATTCCCTTGAAATGAGATGACGCTGGTTTGTAAAGCAACTCTAAGATGAAACAAGACACTGAAGAACAGTATACGTCCTTGTTGCATTTGAATTCTCAATCACAGCAGATTAACTACAGATGTAGGCTTTATATTTAATGTTCAGAAAACAGGAAAGGGAAGGGGGACAACCCCCAAAGTCTGGGGTACATAAGAGGTGGGCAGAGATGTGTTTATTACACATAGCCTTGTTTCCAACTGTAAATAATCAACATTTTTTATTGACCCTTCCTTGGAGCATAGTTACAGAAAAGAAAAGGTTCCCTTTGAAATCCATCCAGGAACACACGCTTTACTGTGGTGTAATTACATACTTGCTAAATTCTAACACTACACCATGTATGAGAATGAAATGAATATTCTTCTACTCATAGACGGCTTTCTATACTTCGCTTTTTAGTTTAGAAAAACAACAAAGGATGTCTGAAGCAGAAACAAACAAATCGAAGACAAGGCAACCTGTGCAGACTACAATTCAACACATTACTTTTAGAAACCCAACACTCTGTGTATGTGCATGTGTGTGTGCATTGTGCTTCTGCAGACTGAACCCAGGACCTCATACATGCTAGGCAAGTGCCCTACCACCTGTGCTACACCCCAGCCCTGGAAACACAACACCGATTATTCAATACTTAGGAATAGCTCTCTTTTTTTTTTTTTTTTTGGTGGCACTGGGGTTTGAACTCAGGGCTTATGTGCTTGCTAGGCAGGCACAGGAATAGCTTCTCTTTTAAGAGGTCCCATTTCAACTATTGGGTCATATACTGTGAGTTGGAGAGTTACCCAGCAAGGCTTCACAAATAATAGAGAACTTCTAATAATTTGATTATTAGATAATGATCGGTTTCAAAAATAGAAGCACCATGCCAGGCATGGTAGGTCAACATGTAGTCCCAGCTACTCAGGACACTGAAGCAGAGTAAGTTAAGCCCAGGAATTTGGGACCAGCCTGGGCAACACAGTGGGACCCAGGCTGGCTATAATATATAGCCAAGTGTATATATATATATATATATATTTGATACACACACATATGTGTTATGTATATATAAGTGAATCAGATAGCTAACTCAGAGGATGATTTGCAGGACAGGATTATTTTAGTCTAAGTTGTACCCTTTCACTAACCATACATTCTATATCCAGGAGACAAAAAGGGTTTCTTAAAAAAGGATGCCCATTAGGAAGGGTGATGATTAGTGGTTGTGAACTCGCAAATACAATATGGCATGGATGTGAAAGATTCAAAGGCTGCTGCCCTGAGTGGTTTTCCGCAGCATCTCAAAGCAGGAAAGCCCCCGTGGTCCACTCTCTCCAAACATCATTCATAAAAGCCCAGGCCAAGTGCCGAGGCTTGGGGGCCCGGAAAACCCTCAGGACATCTCCTGAGGCTAAGACTTTCAATTTCTTGGAACAATAAACTGAGTGTGAGAAACCGGGATTTGGTCACTTCAGCAACCTGACAGACTGAGCTCCTAGAGTCAAAGGCTTCTCTCCCAAAGGCTGACTGCTTTCTTTCCCTGATCACTATGTAAATTCCCCTTTTGCTGGCCCAGCTCTGCACTGAGCTATTCAAAACTGCATTTCCAACTCGGTCCAGCGCTTTCATCATGAATGCCTGAATGAATGGGATGGTCGCGTTTCTGCACACTTCACAGCTCCGCACAAAATCCAAACAACATTTTTTTTCCCACGGGAGCATTTCGGATTCCCGCCTACTACTTTTGACCTGTACTTTCTAAAAATGAAATTCGTGTTCGTGGGAGTATGCCCGATGTCACGTGTGGCATACATTAAGTTGTTCTCCAAAGATATTTGTGACCGCCTCGCCAACAAGAAGCTGGGGAGACAACTTTGTGGGTGGCGTGGGGACTGGGACTGTCCACAGCAAGGGGAAAAAGACCCTCCTCTCTGTTGGCATGGCCAGAAACTGAAAATTACCTCTCGGTTTCTGTTCTTAAACCTAGAGAGGAGAGCCACTGTCCCCGTGGGGACAGAGCACGCGAAGTGCTCCTTTCCCGCCGCTTCCCCTGACCCACCCACCCACGGTTAAAACATGGGTGGGGAATAAGTCGCTTTGGTCTCTTCGGAGACTGCACAAAGAGCATATCTGTGCCTGAGAGGCTGTGTTTGGGTCCCCGCCGACCTCGACAGTAGCTGGCGAGGGGCGCGCTTCCCACCACGGTCTCCCAGCTAGCCCACCCGAGGGGCCCCAAGAAGCCCGCCTTTCCCGGCCGCGACGATCGCGCTTTCCACCACGGGACAATGAAGGCGACTTCGGAGAACTCCTTTTCCATTCATTCCCCGCCCCGGGCCAGCAGCCAGGTCAGCAGCCAGGCCACCTAGGCCCACTGCAGCAGGGGAAATGAACGCCAGGGACGGCGCAGTAGGGTCAGAGTCTCCCCGCCACCCCAGCACCGCTCGCTTCGAGGGTGCTCCTGCGTCGCCAGATTCCGGTAAAAATGGGTGACCCCGGGGGAGCCAAAGGAAGTTAAAGCCGAAGGCAGCAAAGAGCGGCCAGTGGTGGCGGCCGGGGCCAGCGGGCGCCGGGGCAGACGCTCCCCTGGGGCCGCGCGGGGACCCACGTGTCCAGGGTGAAGCAGGATGCGCGCACCACTCAGCAACCCCTCAGCGCCCTGCTTTGTCCCGTGGCCGCCCCTTCACGTCCGCCCGCGCTCCCGCCCGCCGGGAATGGGGTTCCGGGACGGGGGACTCACCTCTCTGGTGGCAGTGCACAGCCACCCAGAGCAGCGAGGCCAGGAGCGCGCCCACCGCGCCGCCGCCGCGCATCTTGCCGCCGCCGCTCGGTGCGCACCGGGAGGACGCTCGGGACGCGGGCTTGCTCGCTTGCTTGCTCGCTCCAGCAGGGCGCGGGTCTGCGCTCCCTTGCGTGCAGTCGCCTCGAGCGCGCTGGCCCCTCGGACACACCCCCGGCGACCTCCACCGCGGCCCGCCCCTCCCCGCCCCGCCCCGCCCCGTCGGCCGCCGAGACCCCTCCCCCAGGGGGGACGCCGGCTCTGCCCCGGGGACCCGCCGCGCGTGGCCGCGCTGGTACAGTCGGCTGGGGCCCCGCGCTGCCACCTCGCGATCCTGAGCCCCGCGGGGCGGCGAGCTGGCTGGCTGCCACTGCCAGGGTCCCAGTTGGAGTGTGCGGAAAAACCCGCTGGGGAGCGGAGCCCTGCTGCTGAGTCTCCAAAGTCCCCTGGATTCCCAGAAAGTGTCCGCCCTGTTGACCCTGACTTCCCGCGGCGCTCTACACCCAGGCCACGAGCCCCGCGCCAGACTGGCCCCACGCGCCCCAGCACAGACCTGGCCGAGCCCGCTGCCACCCGGGCTCGCGGGACCGCGGTCCTGGCTGCTTGCAGCAAAGGAGGTGGCGTTTGTTCTGAAAATGAGTTATAACTTGTTTTCCACTTTGCCTGTGGAGGCCAAAAGAGTCGCTAGGATTTTATTAACTACGACAGAAAGGTTTCAATGTTTTTTGTTCTTCTTTGGTCCTTGATAAAGAATTTTTATTTTTTTCTAGCAAAAGTATTCGTTGCCTTTTGCAGTTCCCACAGTTTTTACTCTATAAACATGCAAGATAATAAGCCTCTTATCCTAAGCTATTTTGTCTTTTTTTTTTTGCATGATAGGGAAATAATTTTATCTCAGTTGTGTGAATCAATATGACAGCTCCAACAATTTCAGTTTTTCTAAGCACACATCCCTAAACACTTGCTCAGTAAAATTCGCTTAGTGATTCTTAACTATTAATTAAATAAAAGATTCAGTACAAGGTTTCAGCATTCACGTATTAAGATATAGAATTATGTGTTTCTGCTCTGAAATAACTGTGCATGCACCCACACTTACACATTAGCTACAAGTATCTTAAGCATCTCTTAGTGTACTCATATATATTACATCATGTGACTTTCACAATTCTGTATGTTGGGCAGATGTTCCTCTTCTTCAGTGACCTCAGGGGCTTAAGGTCCCAGTGTTAGCAAATGTCCAGTCCGGAACTCAGCCCAGATCTGATTTCTAATCAGAAGTCCTCCACCACGCTGAAATCATGGAGGGGATGAGATCAAAGGCAAAAAGGAGGAATTGAAAGGAGTTCAGTTCCCCCATGACCCAGGTTTTCAGAAATCAGTTAGACTTGTCTTTGAACCACAGTCAGGGAAGACAAGCTTGTCATTTCAAGGGCAACTGGCAGTCAGCACATTTGGGGAGAAAATAGGAAGCACCCAAAGTGACAAGTTAAAATTTATCACCGTTCAAAATAAAGCAGAAAGATTTCAGCAAAACGAGAATTTCAGAAGTCAAGATTATGAACAAATTGGAAAACGTGGGTGAAAATGTCACAGTTCTATGTGTTATCAAACCTTACAGTACAAATGTTTCCATTCTTTAGCATGTTTGGAAAATATCTCCATTACCTACAATGCCAGGGGAGTGGGCTAGCCTGTTCATAATGAAAAGAGTAGAATAAGGTTTATGATTCGTGAGGACACAGAAGTCCAGCTCACATGGGCTGAAAATGGCTAGCTTGCTCTAGACACTGCCTCTCTTCTTCTCAGCGTCTGAAAGTCAGGTGTGACTTTGCCTTTAGCTCCACCACCACAGCTAGGGAACAGTCCTGGAGGGTGGGAAAGGAGATGAAAGGAAGGTGCTAAATTTGTGAAAAAGAGCCGCCTTCTGTCTGGACTGCATTACAGCTGAAAGAAATGAAATGCCAACTAAGTTTTGTGTTTTGGAGTCCCTTGTAAAGGCCACCTAGCCTTATCTACCATATACCATACTTTAATGACCAGCTCTCCCTGTGCAAGTAACAAAAGTAAAACAAAGATTCTCTAGCAGATGATTTACTTAAAATTAAAAACAGAAATGTATTAATTAAATAATGAAGTAACTACTCTACAAGATTCAGTTTCAAAAGAAAATGCACATCGAAGCTGAATTTTATCCAAGCCTGAGTTGAATGCTTCTTTCTCATTCATACTGAATTTCTTCCCTTTAAATTAATTTTGATTCCTATATTAGGTCCTCATTTCACTATTTCTTTATCTGGGTGTCCATGGCTTTTCTTTGCCTCACACATTTTGTTTTATGTTGTTTTGAAATCCTTCAAAATCCCATTGTTACCATTTATTTGTAGAGTGCAGAGCTGCACAAGTACAAATAAGATTAGTATTTGGAGGCCTCTGTCCTGCCTGCCCCACAACTGCCTTACCCAATGAGGACCCTTTTCACCATTGCATTCAGGCCTTGCCTTTGACAAACTCTCTTAGAGAATGGTCCCTAAAGGTATTTCTGAGCTTCTCCATTGTACTGGACATCAATGGGTTGGTCTAACCACACATCCACATACTTTCTGACAATTGCCTTAACATGGCTCTGTGGTCAGCAGAAGAATACCCAATTTGTACAACAAGAATCTACTACCACACCCTACTCCCACCCAGGCCACCACCCTCTCTAGCTTGGACAATCAGTCATTAACTGGGCTTTTGTTTAAGACAAGATTACTAAACGTCAGTACCATCTTGGTTTTTCAACTCTTCCTATGTCCAAATGCCAGTGAACTTTCCTCTTTGTTTAGCTATCTCAGGTTGGGTTTTACTTAACTAACTCAGGTTGGGTTTGCGTCAATTGAAGTTGGATCCTAATACACCTTTTATTGATATTAACATATCTACCTTCTATTAATTATCATGAAGAATGTTGGACCATCTGCTTTCTGATGTTTAATTCTCTCTTACTGGGTTTATAGTATTTCATATTTACATATCTGAGTTTCCAGTACATAATGTAAAAAAAAAATTAGAATGTAACAAGAATTTCACACAAGAAAAAATATGGTAAACCGGGCACCAGTGGCTCATGCCTGTTATCTTAGTTACTCAGGAGGATCGTGGTTCAAATCCAGCCTGGGCAAATAGTTCCACACGAGATCCTATCTCGAAAAAACCCTCCATAAAAAAGGGCTGGTGGAGTGGGTCAAGGTGTAGGCCCTGAGTTCAAGCCCCAGTACCACACACACAAAAAAAAAAGGTAAAAACTTTCAGGAATCAGCCTGCCTATCACAAATACCAGCTCCCACATACACTTGATTGATTGGTCTTTAAAAAATTATTTCATTTCTTGACTTCAGTTTCCTCACCTCTAACATGGGAATAAAAACAAGACCAAAAAGTGAGAGAGGAAGGCCATAATGAACATAAATTTCTTAGCATAATTCCCAGTATCAAGTAAGCATTCAGTAGTTGCTTTCCTCCATTGTGTGCTCAACATCACCAAGACTGGGAAGCAAGGTGGGGCACGGCCGTGAGACAACTGTGGGACGCAAGACCGTGGGACTCGAGACCGAGGGACGCGAGACCGAGACCGAAGGACGAAAGACTGTGGGACGCGGCACTAATACAGGTCGGCAGATTGGGCAGCACAGAGTTTTGAAAGGCATTTGGACGCGTGCAAGGATACAAACTATCCAATCTGCCTCTTTGTTTATGCCTGGAGAGAGGGAAACTGAGAAACAGCATTTCCTCCAAAGCCAAGCAATGCACAGAGGTTGCAGTAAAATATCTGCTAGCTGTATTAAAAACTAAAATGATTTTTTAAGAAAAAATTTTGGCATAGAATTGGTCATTAGGGAAGTTGGCGAGTATGTTTTTCTTTTATAGAGGAAGAGGAAGCCAAATTGGAGGAGGTAGAAGACAGCTGTTCATAGGGACATGAAAACAGCATTTGTCCCCTGGACTCTGCAGGACATCCCTGCCTGCTGGGTGTCTGGAACAATAAAATCCTTCAACAGGAAAGTTAGACTGGGAAATCAAAGCTTTCAATGGGAGCAGTACATGATAAATTTGTACCTGAACACCAATTATCTGAAATGTCAAGGTATACATTCATGAAGATACCTCATCGTTGCTTGTCATGTGTCATTTTGATCTGCTGTGCTTTTGGAGAAGATGCACATTATCAGGACATTATGCTACTTTATTAAGTTCTCCATTAATTCCTGATGGATGTAAATATTCTAGGGTATTCTCCACTTCTGGTTCTTTGAGAGCTTTTTGCCACTTTTGCGCTAACCCTTATGTCAAGAGGCAAACCTAGAGTGAAATAACCTACAAACCTGGCATTGGTCCAATGGCAAAGACAATATTCAAATGTTAGAAGGCACTGCTAAGGATTTATTGGCTGAATAGACAGCATTCTTTTATCAAAATGATTTTAAAGAATACAGAAGTATTTAATCTTGAGAAGCAGCATGGGATACTGGAATGTCACACAACAGAGCAAAATTGTATCTCTAAAATGTATTTGTTTGATTTTTAGAAAGGTCATTTGTCTTCTCTGAGCTTCAGTGTCCCTCTTCTGTAAAATGTGAATAACATCTCTTCCTAGAAGTAGTAGCTACTACCTCTAATGACAGAAATAGTAACAGCTGTCATATATTGAATCTTAAAATAGTACTTTACATCCATTGTCTCATTTATTCTGCTTAAACCACTAACTCCATGCATCCCAGGACTGATCATGGTGATTGAATATGGTTAGAGAATCATGCTGACCTGTGCCACTTCACTGCCTGCTCACAGTCATTAAGCAGACCTCTAGAATTGCCTGGCACTCTACCTGTTCTAAAGGGTTCACTTTCCCACAGAGCAAGCACATTCTTTCAGAGCCCAGTTGCATCTCTGTGTTGTCCAAACCTTCTTTCTCCACCTTTGGATTCCTAGTTATCCCTTCCCACCCAAACCAAACATCTCCTCCCATAGGCACCCTTCTGATTCCTCCAGAACTCAGGGACCACTTGCTCCTCTGTGCCACCAACATACTTTGTTATGCAATCTCTGTTGTAACAA